CGAGTCGTGGCTTCTCTTCGAGGCGAACATCCCGGCGCCGCCGGACATGCGCTCCGGGCCGATGGGGTGGAAGCTCAGCAACGGTGGCAGCTCCATCCCTCCTGTGCCCGACGTCGACGTGCGCCCCGGCCTCTTCACCGCCGAGGTCGACCGCGTGCGGTCGTCCCTGTCAGAGGAGCAGTGCGCCCTTCCCCAGTACACCGCCGACAACCACGCAACCTGGATGGAATATTTTCAGCGGCGGCGGGCGCAGAGGCTGGCGTCCACAAACGGGGCGACGATGGTCGGCGGCACAAAGAACAGCGACGGCCGCTGCATCTGGTGGGGGTCCCCGGCCGCCCCTGCACGAGGTGATCACACACCACGAGGGCGGCAACAACTCGCCGCTGGTGTACCCCGCCGCGGTGGCCGTGTCGGCCACTCGCCGGAGCGCCGGGCCGTGGGTGCCCAGAAGGTTTGCCGCCTCCTCCTCCTCCCACTCTTCCTCCTCCTCCCGCTCCTCCTCCCACTCTTCCGGCTCGCCGGCGCTCTTTGGCGTCAAGGCAGAGCCTGCCGCGGAGACGCCGCTCGGCCGGCGCACCCGTAGCGCCGGCATCGTCATCAACAAGGGCGACCGGCGTGCCACCTCCTCGGCTCCTCCGTGTTTCATCAAGCCGAAGACGGAGTCAGGCTCGCCGCCGTCATGCCGGAGCCGGGGCTCCCCATCGTGAAGACGGAGCCAGTCAAGGAGGAGGCGCTCGACGACGAAGCGGCCCTCAAATGGGCGCGCGACGACTGGGTGCAGATGGAGAGGGAGCGCTAGTGTGCCGCCTTCGCGCGGTTCGAAGCTCGTCGCCATGGCCGGGATGAGGGAGGCATCGTCGTCCTCGACGACAGCGACGACGACAACGACACGCCGCCACCGCCTATCCGCCATGGAGACACCGGGCAGGGATCCAGCAGGGCCGGCCGCGCCATCAAGAAGGAGAAGGCCGCCGACAACGACGAGGACGTCGGCGACTTTGCCGCGCTGATCGACTTCTTCGTACCGTAGATTACTTTTTTCAAATAACTTATGTAAAACGCCGAACATGTTGAATATGAATATCAAGTTTGCCGAATTTTAGCCGAACTTTGCCGAATTCAGTTTTTTAAAATAAAAAAACACGTCTGGGGCGACCCTGGGGTGAGCGGCTGGGAACCCGCTCGCCCCCGCGCCGATTTTAGCGCCGGCTCGCCCCTAGGAGGCGCGTAAAATCGCCGCCTGGGGGGCCAACGGCTGGAGATGCTCTAACCGCCGGATACGGCGACTCCTAGCCACCGGATTAAGTCTTCGTTTCCCTCCCATGAACAACTTCGTCCTCAAATAACGCGAGCGTGAGCAGATGAGAGTGCGATGAATCGAGCTGCGCTGACCCTGCCATTGACTAGTGCCACCGACCTTGCTGCCATCGTTGTCTAGTATCAGCTAGCTGCCCTCGCCACTGGTCGAACTTGTCATGAAGTCAATGCGTCGGTCGTGCCTGATGTAGCTCGCCATTGCTCTCAGGTCGTCGTTGCAGCATACCCAACTCCGGCCATCACCGTTGATAGTAGCTGACCCCCCCTCCGGTACCACATGCTCCCCCTCGCAACCATGGTTGTAGGCTTGTAGCTCACAGCAGCTGGTTCCAGCAAAAAAACATGGCTTTAGCATCCAGCACAACGGTTCCAGCATCTCAGGTCATCTATGTATCATGTCGTAGCCGGCTCCAGAAAATTTATGTCTTAGTTGTAGCATCTACACATAACAATTCCAGCTTCTGCCAAAATGGTTGTAGCATCTGATGTAGGGAGTTCCAGTTTTTTTGCACTTTTGCCGACGACAATTCCAGCAAAAAAATGCCTGTCAGTGTCAAAACCGGCGGATCTCGGGTAGGGGGGTCCCGAACTATGCGTCTAAGGCGGATGGTAACAGGAGGCAGGGGACACGATGTTTACCCAGGTTCGGGCCCTCTTGATGGAGGTAATACCCTACGTCCTGCTTGATTGTTCTTGATGATATGCGTATTACAAGAGTTGATCTACCACGAGATCATAGAGGCTAAACCCTAGAAGCTAGCCTATGGTATGATTGTCTGTTGTCCTACAGACTAAACCCTCCTGACTATTAGGGGGTCACCTGGATTAGGTGGTCTCCGGACAGCCGAACTATATCCGTATTGCCTAGCTTGGGTCACACAGAGTCGGTTACAAGGGGGGAGATCTACATATCCGTATTGCCTAGCTTGCCTTCCACGCCAAGGAGAGTCCCATCCGGACACGGGACGAAGTCTTCAATCTTGTATCTTCATAGTCCAATAGTCCGGCCAAAGGATATAGTCCGGCTGACCGGAGACCCCCTAATCCAGGACTCCCTCAATGCCGATTGCAGCTTTGATGGAAGTCGGTTTGAGCAAAACAAATCGCTGCTTGCAGCCCCGGTAGAAGTCGGTCCCAGCAAAAGAAATGTGTGGCTCCAACTCCATGCTGATCGCAGCACCGTCTGCTATGGATCCAGCTCCTTCACCGGGCAGTTGCAGCAAAAATCGATGATGGTTCCAACATCGCCGACTCGCAGGCTCGCACCACAGCCGTGTCGATTCCAACATTTGTGATGCATGGTTCCAGCAACATGAATTGCATCTCCCAGCATGGCGGCTCACCGTTTCCGACAACGCAAACTCGCTGGTTCCAACCGATTGCAACTTTGGTCAACACTGCCGCTCCCACCGAAGAAGCTCGCCGCAGCACGTCCGCTGGAGTTCCATCACCTCTCGTATCCTATCGCAGCACGAGTGCCCCGGCGGTCCCAGCAAAACAAGACAACAGTGCGATGGCTCTCACAGATGGGGAGGGAGATGGAGGAAGAGAGGTGGAAGACGAGGTGTGATAGCCTGATAGGCTCTAGCGCAGAAAAGGAATGGTCGTGATGAAAACATGAACCTGGGTAAAATCATGTCTCTATGTTACCACCGTACCAATGCTGCCAGTTCAGGACCCTTTACCCGGGATGACCTAGACTTGACTCCATCACCCTCACCCAATCCCCTAGTTAGGGGTGCATATGGCAGGGTGATTTGGACATCTGTATTGGGGCTGGATCTTGTGGATCCTTTTTGTTTTTGGGGTTTTTCTCTGCTAAGAAGCTTTATGTTTGTTCCATTATCTGATGATAGTGGAATCCAATCCAATATGGATCGTGTGAAAAACAATAAAGTTTTTTTTCTAGAATACGCATAAGCATGTGTATCATGTATTGAAGAACAGGCGGTAAAGAAGCCGGATACAACTCCTTTCGGCCATTACAATGCCTATTCCGAGGATTAGCATCCACCAGACATACCCACCACACGTACTACGATGCATGCTCCACCTGAGCCAACCTCATTCCAATGCCAATGAGACAAGCCACATAGCAACCAAGTCGCATCACAACCGATGCCGGATGACCAAGACTCGAGGACAACACAAACCAACGTACCCCACCCACTACGCCAAGAGGAAGTAGGCAAGTGGATGGCAGGGATTGGGCGGGCCTAGAGGAGGCGTCGTCGACAGAGCTCCGACGATGGTGTACATTGCGCCCCGGAGGCCCACGCCAAGAGTAGTAGCCGACACCGACAAGAGTTGTGCCACCGGGACTCCTCGAGCAACGAGATATCGCCTCCAAGGAGAGAACAACGCCATATGTTGTCGCCTGGTCCGGAAGCCGAACCAAGAGTTTCCCCTGAGCGCTGGTGGCCTGCCCCCCCCCCCCAGCTAAGGGCGGCCCCTCCACCTCCATGGTGCCACGAGCATCACCAAACTCTGACAACTTCCGCCACCAGAGTCGCATATCCAACCCACCACTCTCCACCTTCTTCTCAGAGCAGCAACCTCCTACCACCTCGAGCCACGACCACGACAAGCCGCTGCATAGGCTAGATCCAGATGGGAGGGAAGGGAGGGAATCCCACTCGAGCCGCTGCATCCGCCTGGACCACCTTCGACAATGCTCCTTCCGTCCAAGTCTCCTCGAGCTCGTAGCCGACACCGAGTGCGCACCCAGCCTCCGCCGGATCTGACTTCCCACTCCCTGGCCGATGCGAGGAAGTGAACAGGCCCGCTGATGCCGACGTAGCGCAGGCTTTGCCCGGCGACGCCCACCGACGGTGGTGGGGGAGGAGGGGGGCTACGGCGACCGGCTAGGGTTTCATCCAAGGTCGCCACGGGAGGGAGAGGGGGAGAGGACCTGGCCGTAGTTATATACTCGGTCAAACTTTATAAATTTTGATGAATTTTCCTTTTATAAATCTATCTATATGCACTGCATTATAAACGGAGGGAGTATTAAATACACGAGGGTGTAGTTATAAATCGTGCGCCTGGACGTAGCACACCCCGAACCTTGTGGATTACATAAAAAATAGTATTGACGTGGGCCCTACAGCTGAAAGAGGGTAAGAAGGAAGGAAACCAGCTAATCTCGCCACGTCCCCCCGGGTTCTCCATGAGCCGCCTCGCCGGAGCGGTTTTGCTCGTCTCGTCGCCAGAAACAGAGTGGAGCACAAAGCTCGATCTCCAGCAGCGTCGATGACATGTGGTCTCTCTATGTTGTGCTCGCCACCTGTCAGCGTGCTTCGTCGACGCACGCCGCGGAGAGCAGCACGCCCTCGCACTCGCACGTGGGGCCCTGCCCTTGTCGTCGTCTCCTTCTCGCGTTGACAGTTTAGACTCACAGAGATAAGAACAAGACAGCACTACACTGACTGCGGAGGCGGAGTGCCAGTATTATTAGTATCAGCGGATTCGCATCCGTCGACGCAGCAATTTGGCCTAGACTAGAGTTTATCTCTTGCATTTCCCCGCGCGTAGCAGCAAGCACAAGAGGAGAGATCGCGCATTTATTTACAGAGCTGTTGGGAGAATCCAGGAGGAAGTCGAAGTACTCCGGTCCGGCCAAGAAGGGGGAGACAGAGCGGGGGAGGACGCCGGGGCGCCGAGTTTGGGGAGAGGAGGAGATGGAGACGGACAGCCCGCGGAGCCCGGAGGCGGAGATCGGGCACCGGGTGGAGGACCTGTGGGAGGTGGCGCAGCCGCAGCTGTCCCCGTCGGAGAAGCTCAACTCCTGCTTCGAGGACATCCCCGTCGCCGCCTTCCCGCGCACCCACCCCTCGCAAGGTAATCAATCCTCTCGCTACTCGCTTGCTTGCTTGCGCTCTTGTTTCTACTACTTTCTACAGTATATGTTTGCTCCTGTCTTGCTCTGCTGCAACAACAGTAGCGTCTCCCCAAATGTGACTGCTTGTGAGCGACCGGGTTTCCTAGCGCCAAGAAAAACTCGCGTCGCTCCCTGTCCAGCATTGGAACCACCGGCGATTTCTCCTTTGGATGCCGATTCCATCTGCATCGTTTGTGCGGATACTGGTACAGACCAGATGCTCGATCGTCTCTTCTCTCTTGCCTCTTGCTGTGCCGTGCGCGCTCCGTGTCAGCACTCAGCAGCTGACGTGATGTGCCCGTCCCTATCCTGCCTGCCTGCCTGCCATTCATGTCGACCGTGGGGGGCATCATACCAAACGTGTAGTATATCTTCTGAATTTTGAGCTGTCGTGGCCATTCTAGTGAACGCCCATAGCCCACTTCCAGGTTGATTCTTGATATCAGTAGGCAGTGGCACTGTTTTGGTTTATGAGTGAAAATGCAGTGGAGGTTTGAAAGCTTCTAGCAAGTCTTCCAAAATCCCAGTACGTTCAACCCTTCAGCGTAAGGGAGGCATCAATTGTGCTTGCTCTTGTTGAGAGGTTCTTTTCACTTGTTAGACCACCGAAACAAGAGCCGTCCGGGACTCTCTTGGCTTTATGCCATTAATTGATAAATTAATTATATGTGACTGACGTGTATTTATATTATGTGACTGACGTATATTGGTATCAGCTTATACTAAACTCTCCCAGTACCTGTCATGATCACAATATATCTTCTGGAACTATTAATCCCCAATTGGATTAGGCCAGTTGGCTAAATAAACTATTTTTTAGCTTTTGTTTTGTAAAAGAAGATTTGCGTGGATGCGTTAAATTGTGCTCCCTCCATTCTTAAATATAACATGTTTTGGATATTTCAATATGGACTACATACGCACCGAAATGACTGAACAAACACACTAAGGCATGTCTATATACATCCGAATCAGAAAAAAGTTACAACATCTTATATTTATGAACTGATGGAGACCAGTATGTATGATTTTAGTCCCGATATAAAGGAAACTGTACAAAGAGGTGCAGCCTTTGCAATCAACTTTTTGCCTAACTTGGGCACGTCTATTTCTGTGTTGAACTCACTCCTTCGTGATAAGTTTTTAAAATCAATGATGCTAACATGAGCAACTCCTACTTGGCCACTTGATAAACCAAGTGAGTTGGTAATGATAGGGTCACAACTCCAAAACTGGAACTGAACTTTGCCAATTCCATGCTGAATGTTCTCAACAAGGATTCTGTTCTTTTCTTGCGGGGAAACAAGGGTTCTGTTCTAGCTCTGTGGCTAAATTCATTTGTAGCCCGAATGATGCCTACTGGAGGAAGTTTATACGGATCTTGAATTCGTTTGGTGCTTGAAATATGACTTTAGAGCAAGCTAGTCAAGCAGAGCCCCCAAAACACAATCACTTGTATCTACTATTTGCACATAGGGGCTTCTTTCTAGCAACATATTTAAGACACACTTTTAGTATACTAATGGTACTGAACCACATCCAAAACATCAATCAACATCATAATTATTAGTTGCATTTCCCACCTGAGAAGAAATTATTAGCACCCATTAGCATTGATTAACACGTAACTATTATTTGCACAAATTGTCACTGATTAGCATACAACCATAGCACAGAAACACCCTAATCTTTTCTGTAGGTTGACACCAAGTTAGCATGGATTAGGACATAACTATGATTAGCGCTTCTCGAATAAAAAATGGTTAGCGCCAGGGTGATGAAGTGCCCCAAGCTCTGTTTACTGGATCCCCTCAGGATTGGAGGTGGGATAGGGCTTCTGCTGGAGCCAGTATTTTTGCACTTCCCTAAAATTTGACTATACGCGGGGTTAGGGTGGGCCGTAGGGGTTCGGCTGGACTTGCACTTAAGGGACTAGCGACGTTAGTTGTTGCATGGAGAATACATATGAATGTATGAAATGGAATTACAATGATCAAAATTGTTTACTAATTTCATGAACTCGTGATAACAACAGTCAGTTGAGAAGCCGGCAATGCAACCTCTTAAAGAAAACTTTAAGCTACTACATTAGCGACAATATATTGTCGGTAATGTTTGTACAATCTGTGTCTTTGGTTTTCACGATCATGTTTGGTGTTTTATCTGCATATATATACAATTCTAGCTAGATAAAGTTGTATCATCATAGATTGATTAGGCATGCTTTGCTTGAGGTCGCTACATACGGTGTTCAGCATTTCGCTTCTTCGATTCAGTCAAACAAGTTTTAAGAAGTGCCAATGTAATTCCTTTTTAGGGAAAACGCCAAGGTAACTAGATAATCAAACCTTTCTGATACTGTTGGATTTATAACCTTATATATATCCTACAGGTGGATTTATGTGGCAACAAACTATTTAGAAGTGATGGAGTTACATCATCATATAGGTTCAACACAATTGCATGTTATTAAATATAGATATGTCATTACTAAATTGAATATCTTGATATTTTTAATAGCTGATACCATGCTTTGTAAAGACATGATTTAACTGAAATGTATGACTGTAAACAATAATATACAGAAATGTACTTTTACCACATATTATCTCATAGTCACTCTGCATTCTAAATGTCTGCCATGATGTTTCTTCGTGCAGTGATCGAGATACCTTCGGATGCCAGCCTTGCTGATACTGTTGAGACATTGTCCAAGAATAAAATTTTGAGTGCACCCATAAGAAACGTCGATGCTCCAGAGGATGCTACTTGGATAGACAAATACATCGGTATTGTGGAATTTGCTGGTATTGCAATGTGGTTGCTTCATCAGGTTTACATCTCTCCCTCTCTTCAGTTGAATTCTTTTTATATAGCTAGATCGATTTGATCACCATGAATCCATGAGTCATAAGTCAAAACATGTTGATATGTTTGCCGCTTTGATCAATATTATCCTTATCTAAACCAAATGAATTCCATTTTTACATACAAAATCACAATGGTAGATCTGAAAGTAACAAGATTAATCTCTTGGTGAAAAACATTTTGTTTGTTTGTCTAGAGGGTAACCTTGGAAGATATGATTTCAGTTCTGATGTATTCTCCATGATCAGAGCTCTCTATTTCTCTTCAAATCACAATTGATAACTTATAAATATATTGCTACATTTGTGTGAATAAGATTTTAAATACACAATACATGAACCTTGACCTAGGCCTGATATCATTGGATTGTCCATCGAGTCAATCACCTTTCTAGGATCTTGTCAATATGCATCTTCACATCACTGATATGCCGACCTTTAAGTAAATTCGGAATGATTAGAAAGGTAGGTAGTTTAAAACAAGTAATGCACTACAGTTGCAGCAAGTTATAAGCTTTATTTGTAATGTCAGTTGTGGAACTGATTATTTTCACGCCCATGCATATCTGACTATAATTGCTTCTTTTTCTCCTCTGCATCAGTCTGATGCTTCAGGTAATGGAACAGCTGGTTCTGCAGTTGGATCACCTGTGGTCAATCTAGCATCTAGGTTAGGCTCTTTCACATTCAGAAGAACGTCATCTGGCAGGGTAGAAACCACTACTGATTCAGAATCAGATGAAGCTGCATCAGTGGGTGGAAGCTTTTTTGAAACCCTTACTTCCTCTGAGTTCTACAAGAACACAAAGGTGACCGACCCCTTCTCACTGCAGTGACATGGCCACGCTTTTATATTCTCCTCTAGTTAGCACCCATCCATGACACAGTTTGTAATGTCGTAGGTTGGCGATATCTCAGGAAGCTTCCGATGGGCGCCATTTCTTGCCCTGCAGACATCTGACACATTCCTCACTATGCTGCTTCTTCTATCCAAGTACAGGATGAAGAGCCTCCCCGTGGTAGATATGGGGGGGAATCAGATTGAGAATATCATTACACAATCTTCCGTTGTGCACATGCTTGCAGAGTGTGTTGGACTATCTTGGTTTGAAAGCTGGGGAACTAAGAAACTCTGTGAACTGGGTCTTCCTCTGATGAAGCCATACAGACTTGTTAAGGTACCTCCTGAATGTGTAATCTCATCATCCTTATAAATGTTTGGCACATTGATCTGTATATAACGAGGAGGACAAGGTTTATAAGAATCATGCTGCTCAACAGCTATACAATTGAACATTTGTAAACTGGTTTATCTGCAACTGAAGAACGAAAAACTCTAGCGTAAACTGTTTTACCTGCAGCCAAAGAAAGGAAAACTCAAGGTTGCCTTGGTGTTGCCCTTTATAGGTAAATGAAGACCAGCCAGTCCTAAAAGCCTTCCAACTAATGAGGGAAAAGGGGGTTGGTGGTGTGCCTGTTATGGACACAAATGGAACAAAAGCAATTGGTAACATTAGCATCAGAGATGTCCAATATCTTCTTAGTGCCCCCAAGATATACAAACAATACAGGTTTGTAACTCTGGTTTATACTTGCTGATTAGCTTACTTATCTTTGCAAATCCGGTGTAATTTGCACTCATAAGAAGTGCCCTCTTGTATGACACTGGCTGGATGCATTCACAGGACAATCTCAGCCAAGGATTTCCTTACCGCGGTCCGGCACCATCTCCAGGAGCAGCACGAAGCGTCGCCGTTGCTGCACGACGTGATCACATGCAAAAGAGACGACGTGATCAAGGAAATCATACTGAAGCTGGACTCGACCAAGATCCACAGGATCTACGTGGTCGACGACAAGGGGGATACCGAGGGGGTGATCACGCTGAGGGACATAATCTCCAAGCTGGTGCACGAGCCACGGCATTACTTTGGGGATTTCTTCGACGGCGTCGTCCCCCTACCCGCAAACAGTACCGTATGACAAAACTCTGTGATAGTATGTACAAAAAATGTACATTATCTTTTTGCTCATTCCCCATCTTCTTCTTAAGTTGTGGTTGCTGTTGCTGTTGCTGTGGAGAGACCTCTGTGGGGAGGACTAATGAAGAACCAATGGGGTGGATGACAGTGTGCGTTGAATAATCTGAGAATTGCCTGAGCTTTGCGATGAGAATGATGATGCCTTTCTTCTTTCTTGTTGACGGTTGCATAAATTCTGTCATCATTGCTTCACCGGTCCTGCTTTTTTGGAAGGCAAGCTCTGGAACACTGTCATCTTTTGCCGTTATGTTTGACAATTTACTAAGCTAAAGCTCTTGTGGAGAAACATTCTTGGTCTTGGGCGACCACAAGTGATGAGGTGGCTAGACCAAGGTGCAAGTTGTAGATGGTACCCCCCCTCGTCCATCTATACAAAGCCACTTTAATTTGGTTTAACTTCGATCATCTATTTACCCAACATAATATGTCTCAAATGGATTTTGCATTTGAAAGAAGTTCCAAATGGTATATATTTTTTGTTGGTCAAATCAGTGATCAAAGTTAGACTCATATCATATCCATGGTGGGATGGATGGAGATAGTAGCAGTTAGCTTAGAACCACTCCACCAGATGGGTGGATGGATGGAGGGAGGGAGGCAGCAACAGTGAGAACATAGTGAGTTTGGTCACTCAAGATGCCAGTGCCCTTCTTAAAAAAAGACGTTGGGTAAAGCATATAAAATCCCAGCTTACCAGATCCAGATGCAGATGCACAACTTTTACGTTATCACTCTAAAAAACAGGAAGGGGACCAGACCAATTCCGGCTCATTAGGTGGTTACAGCCTTACATACATGCAGCTAGCGCTAGGCCAATAACCACCCCGGTACAAGTGCTACTCTACAAACTTGCGAGTCTCCGGCTAAATATTACCAAAGAGATTTGGTGGACACAGCACGGAGATAATAATAGGGAGTACCTAGAACTCATCTAGATGAGACGTAATTTGATCTCATTCACCTGGAAAACAAGAACGGATACAACCCACGTCAGCACACACGCATCTTATAGCACCACATCCAATGGCTATAAAAGGTGAATGAGACCAAATTAAATCTCATCTAGATGAGTTCTAGCAAAACTGATAATAATAAGGTACTACCAGCACTATGGTCGATGGTGGCCACATGATGATTGTCGAAATTTCCAAGTTCCAGGACAACCAAGCATTGCACCAATAACCTCTTTCTTTGTTTAAGTTGCAACTTGCCAGTGTGGTAAAGGTGCAATATTACAAGGATTCATCAACGACTTTGCCATTTGATTAAAGTCTTAAATCTGCTCAGAGAGGACATACATACACCTGTACATATAACAACAACAAGCTTGCCATTTTAGGATCATATTGTCGATCATCACGTATGAAAAATTGCATTACTAAACCATGTAGAATGTGAGTTCCAAACATCTTCAATCACTCTCTGCAAGGGTACCCCTACCTTACAAGGACGAACAGAAAGTGGAATCTATCTGCTTGATTGCTGTCCAAGGCCCTTCATGGGATTGCCACAAACTAGATACAGTACTTCCATTGCTCTAATCAAAGCAATTAAAAATAGCTGCAGAGTGACGTAGTAATTTAAAGCCTCCAAATGCACAAATGGTAATCATCCTCAATTTGAAAAAAAAAACTGTGGTATTAATCAATTATGTTTACTTTCTTTTCTTTTGCATGTACATACACTTCAAACATACAGAGGCTCAAAAGTAAGAGAACAGAAATAAAATAAGAAGCACTTCCAATGGAATGAAAAAGGATATCTCAACAAGGTAGCTTTCAATCTGTCCGATGAACACTCGATGAAACTCTCAGTTACATATGCTGTAGGGCTAAACATGGGCCACAGAGGGGTGCCACAGCCTATGTTTATAAAGCGGTAAAGCGAAGCGAGGCGCTAGGGGGGCGCCTCACTGCTTAAGCGATAAAGCGTAAAGCGAGGCGACGCTTTACACAGACTCTGAACCTGATGGGCAGTATAATAGAGCACCATTTAGTGAGACATATATATGTTGATTCTAATCCACCAGTGAGCCCATATATTCTGATCCATCCACTAAGCAGTAAGCAACTAGCCAATTGCTATAAGAGAGGCAGTAGCACCTAACAGCAGAGGAGTTGTGCATAGCATAACACACAACAGAGCAGAAAAGGCTGGTGCAGATCTGAGGAAGCTGCTGCCAGAGGAGAGAGGAAAGAGCTGAAAGCCTGGATATTTGCACGCTCTGGTTTTGGTTCTCTCTCTTTCTTTCCCCTCCTGTAACTGTTTCACATGTGAGCCCAGCCCTGTTTCCCTGCCAGGAATCTCTGTACCCTGCCTGGCAAGTCTAAGGCGTCCTCTCTGCCTTAAAGCGCCAATCAGGACGCCTAAGCAGGCGCTTCAGACGCTTTAGTGTCTAAGGCGGACGCCTTAGACACATGTCTAAAGCGAGTTGGACGCTTTGAGCCTGGAGGGCGCTCTAACGCTTAAGCGTCGCTTAAGCGACGCTTTAGGGACGCTTTACAAACAGAGGCCACAGCGCCGGCACCGAAGCAGAGTGCAAATTGCATGCTTCGACATAAACAAATTGAAGTGGAAATTGCCTCCATACTGCTACTGTCATATTTGTTGCAACTTACTAAAATACCATCTATTTGCCCCACTTTAATTAGTCATCTGTTGGACTGTTACCCCAAAACAGACTACTCCCTCGTTTCCACAATATAGTGCGCATTAATTTTCTCAGAAGTCAAGCTTATAGACTCTGACCAAGTTTATAGAGAAAATATCTATATCTACAAATACTTAACAAATACCATCAGCTTCGCCGTGGAATATACTTCCATATGGTATATATTTGGTACTGAAAGTGTTCAGAAATTTTCTATAAACTTGGACAGAGTTGATGAAATTTGACTAAAAAAAATCTAATATGCATTATATTGTGGAACGGATGGATTATTAAATAGAGTTGTGACATGCTAAAATACCAGAAAATTGATAAAATTTACCTGAGACAGGCCTTATTTTCCAACAGAGCAAATATCCTAATCCCAGAATGCATATTCCTCTATCTCCAATTCTTCATAACGAGCAATTCAATCGTGCAATAGCATGCCTGCACAACATAAGAACATGGCTTCCTAAGTGGCCACGGGACCCATCCTAAAGGGTGACGACTATAGCAAAATCACGGCGACAAGAGTGGGAACACCGGGAATACTTGTGGAGCAGTACAATTAAAATTATCAGCTCACATACAACACTTCTCCTGTTTCATGCCTTGAAGAAGCTGGGAAATATGTTCAAGTTTTGCAATTGGTCGATAATTATAGTTCGCTATATACTTCAGAATGTTTCTTAGTTTATAGGTGAGGGCTGAGGACTCCACTCATTGTGAATTGCACCACATTCATTTCTCTATAACTCCAGAAAGCAAACCTACCAAACCATGACTTCAAATGGTCGTAAAGGGCTTACAAAAAAGTATCAGTATAATGACATAAAAGGAAAAACGATACCAGTGTTACATCAGGTGAACCAGCTGAGTACCTAACCGCACCATGCCACCATCCTCCTCCCTCCATGCTCAGGTAGTTCACGAAGCTGCTCCAGCTTTATCAAACAAGGGATACCCAAAATGGAGTAATAGTCAAGTAAAACACTTCATCTGGTGGACTTTAATGCAAGAAACAGTAAGTATTATCAAACTATTTGTTGATTTTTCTTTCGCAAAAACATGTCTTGTTGCTTTCATATAAGACTTACATTCAGAAGCTACACCAATATGAAGTTACAAACTAAGTTAACTTCATATAATAAGTAACTACCCCCTCCATTTCATTTTATAAGGCATATTATGGTATTGCACAGGGTCACAGGGTTAATAAAGCCCATTAATAGGAGCGAGAATATTCACCATGTTAACCAGAAATGACGCCGAGAGATGAGAGATAAAAGGGGGTAAAAGATAGAAAAATCATTAATTACTTATAGAGACCTATATTTTTTTTAAAATGCAAAAAAATACAGGCCATACAGAAATGAAGTGAGCACTAACTGTTATTTTCATAATTTTGAACGTTTGATGAGTGAGTACTAAGTGTGCTTTTGATGCTTTTCGAACATTAGAGAAAGCGCTGAAAACTTCAACAACCTAGTGTGCTCCCATATGGGCAGTACTTCTATGTCTTACCCTCTATCCTGAATTCTTCACATCCATTTACCATCAATGTGCTTATTATTATCCCTGTATCTCAAAAAACCCAAATAATGAGACCACGATGATCCACTTTGTAAACTGCCAATTGTATCTGGCTGAGGTTAGCATAAGCAAGCCTTCTGAAGTATAACAACTATGATAAATAGTTGTGATGGAAGATTAAATCAGTTTGCTAAGATAGATACTCCCCGTGTAAACTTTTATAAGATCGTTTAGATCACTACTTTAGTGATCTAAACGGTCTTATATTACTTTACAGAGGGAGTACATCTTGCCATGACAGATATGGAAAGATTCAGACCCCAAAGAATGATAGATGCGCATTATATATGAAAATAGAATTTACCAAGTAAATGAGCGATGCAACAATACCAATAAATCATGAGGCAGAAGAGAATGGTAGAATTAAGTTACTCCCTCCTATCCTTATTAATTGCCGCTGACTTAGTACAAAAGTTGTACTAAGTCAGCGGCAATTAATATGGATCGGAGGGAGTATAAAAAATTGCCAATACCAAGAAAAGAGTCCTCATAGTAGTAATGAAATATCATTCGTCTTAAATAAGAAAATAGCCCAATATAACACATCAACACTTATATTTTCGTCAGTAAAATAGCAAGAGTATTAACACAGATGTATGAATGGCACCTCTAAATTAGTACGTACTGCCTGAAGATCATTATTAGCTTGTACCACTAACCTACAGTCTGAATTTATTTTTTGACACTGTGCCCTACAGTCTGATTAAGTAACCTTTGTTACAGACTCTGACGATAAATGTGTTTAGTTCATACAAGTATCTTACTAGAGAAAACATAAGCCTTCATTCTAAGGTAACATAAGTTGTATGTGAGCATAAAGAAAAGAAGTGTCTAGACTTTTGCGCAGCAATCAAATTAATGATACTTACTTTCTTCAACAGTACGATCTGTCGGATTTTGCACTATGGTCAGTTTTATGATCCGTAGCTTCATCGATTTCATAAGACATGTTTGTTTCACTTCGTTTTCTCTAAGCATGCAAATGGCAAACTCTGTTACTTCTGGTTTGCGGCCTAAACATGCCCTTTTCCCACATCTTCTGCAAGTTATTCCAACTGAAACACATATAACATGTTCAATATATTCCAAGAAGCACGCCTCTACATGGTGCCAAATCTAGATTTTGGACATTGTAGTGTGCAAAGAAATGAGTACACTGGAAAAACAATACATGTACATTATTTCTTGTTACACATAATCTGACTTAACCAAAGGATCCTCCTGTGGACTCCTGCGGTATTACAGCACCATACCAACTAGGGAACATGCACCAATCCAATACATGTAACCAGCGGTTCAGCAATATACTTCCCCTTGTAACAAAGATATACCTGTAACCAAATTCTGTCATAGGAACTATAACCTTCTTCTGGAATGGTTGGCAGACCCTAGTGAGCCTTCGAAAAGATCAGACAGTTGATTTTCCAAGTCCTCTGGGGTGTACTTTATGTATTTACCAGAACTTCTTCCATTATCCACTAGACTACCATATCTACCCAGAAAAGCACGATATGCTGGAATCACATTTTCAGATATAGATATCTTGAGCTCTTCACGGAGTTGAGGATCCGGTACCTTCCAAAGCGTTTGACTCCTGTAAATCTCATCAAAGGCAAAGTTGAAGTTCTTAAATTTCTCTTTGACCCTCGAGCTTGAATTCCCAAGACTTACACTCCCACTGCCATGACCATCATCCTTGAGATAGGACAAAACCTTTGTCCACGATATCCTAAGGTAGCTCTTGGAATTTTGCCGAATCTTTCCACGGCGCCTCCGTGTCCAATGATCACCTAAAATCCTCCTGAGCTCGGAATCCTTCACCTTTTGGACAATATAAAGTGTATTATTCATGGAAAATATACACTGGAGTGCACCGTCCTCGTACAGTTTAGATTTTTCCTCCAAATTGGCCTCCAAGTAAGACATGAGCTTCACCAACCGATGTCCAAGTGGGGTCAAGCTCTGCAGATACTCCTCGTCATCATCAGCACCTCCATTTGAAGCATTATGATCAGCATCTCCGGCAGCATCCTCATCCAAGAGTTTGTCAAGCGTATCACTGTAAACGACCAACAGCCTAAGATAGTTCATCACATAACGTGTGATTGGGTGGATCTCACCAGCCATCATAGGCCGGCGTGACGACTCCTGCTGTAGAACCTTCCCAAACTCAAGAAGGTTACCCTTGACTGCATCCCCAAGCCTCCCAAGGACCCCCTCCAAATCACAGATCACATCATCCCCAGGAGTCCCATAGTACAGTTCCTTGAGCTCAGGAATTACCTCAGCAAGTGCCTCATACATATCAAGAATCCGGGACACCTTCTCGGGCGAACGAGGGCACACAGCCACAGCATCCCCAAAGTTAAGAATCTGCATTATGCAAACCTTGGTGGATTCAACAAAGCACTCGTCCCGCAGCTCATCGGACACTGCGAGCACCTGATCACAGAGCCGGCGCTCGCCTGTCAGCAGGGAGCGGACAACCGTCTTGACGCCATGCACCCATTTCTTCATCTTGTCATTCAGCTGCTTCCACTCCACACGCTGAACCTCATCGATGCTGAGACGCTCGACCCCCAGAACTGTGAGGCACTCATCAAGCAGGTCCCGGCGGATGCCACAGTAAACCTGCACGAGCTCACTTGCATAGCCAGCGCGCCCCATCCGCTCAGCAATGGCGCGCAGCTCATCAACAGCGTCAGGCCGCACCAGGTCGAACAGCTGGTCGTCGAAGGGGTTCCCCACGAGACTGGCGCTGCGGGCGGTATCTGGCGCGCCCTCCTGGCTGTGCGGGGTGGTGGGGTCGAACTCGGAGGAGGTGTCGAGGTCGTCCATGGACTCGAGCGAGAGGCGGCGGAGCGAGCAGTAGAGGCCGCTGGCGTCGAGCGGCACGGCGTGGTGGAGCATGAGGTGGCGGAGCTCGTCCTCGAGGCGCGCCATGGCGAGCTGCACGGCGACGCCCGCGCGGCCCGAGGCGGCGGCGGCGCCCCCGGCGGCGAGGTGGTCGACGGCGACGTCGACCGCGGTGAGGTAGTTGGCGGCGTCGTCCTCGGGCGCCTCGAAGACGAGCGCCTCCGGGGTGGTGTCCCAGAGGTGGATGAGCCGCGCCGCTTCGTCGAAATCCGCCAGGGAGGGGGCCTCCGGGTCGGCGTCGGCGTCGGACGGGGAACGGGAGCGAGAGGGCGAGGTGGAGTGGAAGAGGTCGGAGGTGATGTTGGAGAAGCGGTAGTCGAAGCCCGAGAGGATGCGGATCATGTCGTCGGCGGCGTTCTTGGAGGTGGCGAGCGACTTGACGATGTGGTGCGCCGCGGCGAGGACCCTGTCGTTGCCGGCGACGGCGACGGCCAGAGGCACGGCGTCCTCCTCCGGCGGCGGGGGAGACGCCGACATCGCCGGCGGGCCGCTAGGGTTTGGTCCGGCGGTGGTTTACTGACGCGACACTAGTCGGGACGGGAGTTACGGCGCGGCTCGGGGGCTGATGGCCGCGGTAAACAGAGCGCTCGTAGCAGTAGTGGTAGATATGTGTGGCGGTGGCAGCAAAGGGGCGGACGGATAGAGGGAGAGGAGATGCGAGAGGAGGAGGGAAGCAAATGGCACCACTTTGCCGGCCCGCTTCGCTTGCTGTTTGGTGCGGTGGCGACTGGCGAGGCTGGCTGGCAATTCACGGTGCGCAGCTCATCTTTGTATCTCATCCCGGCCGGACCTCCAAAGTCCAACTTGCCCACCTCATCCTCACGTGTTTCATCTTCTCTCGCTCTCCCGCTTTTACTCTCTCTCTCTCTTACCACAACTAGGAGTAGTATCGAGCTCGACGACGACGTGTTTTTCTCTCCTAGTGAAGAATAAATTGCGCAATCTGACCCCGTTGGAACTGGAATGCACTGCACAATTATGTACACTGTTCTTGGCGGTCGCTGTCATCTTTTGTTGCGTAGATCTCGACGTCTTTCATCCTCGTATTAGATCCCCGTCGTCGTCACCATTTCCATGCTCTCAAGGGAACCACAAAGTCCCTGTCCGTCCAAACTTGATCAGAGACGACTTGCCCAAATCTTCTTGAAAAGAAAAGAAATCTTAGGGTAAATCTTCGCATCACTTGGGGTAATTCGCACTTAGCGTGGATGTTCAAAAACGTCTTTCCAAACATTGTGGAACTATCGTATGCATTTCCGTGTTAGTATTACTGTCATGTCACTAGGAATGTTTGAAGCAAACAGGTTGGTTTATCCGTGTGTGTATGTAACGATCATGTCATGGGTTGCCTGCTCTCTGCCATGATTGCCCCTCGGGCTTTCGGCTGGACGGCTCACGCACTGCAAGTGCAAGTGCAAACCCAAAGGCTCCGCTCGTGTCACTGGATAAGAATAGGGGTGTGCTACAAGTTCGCCGGTTGATCTTTTTAAAAGATCAACCGGGCCGCGAGCCGTCGGATTACCGCATCACACGGACAAACGCGTCTCCATACTGCAACATAGGTTTTGTTGCGAAATTTATTTCTGCAACGCAGGTCTTGTTGCGGAATTATTTTTGCAACACAGGTTTTGTTGCGGAATTCTTTTGCAACATCAGTTTTTTTTATATTTTTGTAACTGAGGTACCGTTGCAGAAATTCACAAGAGAAGTTTTGTTGTAAAACATAGACCCGTCGTAAAGTATTGCAACACTGCATATGTTTCGGAAGCATAGCTCCTATTGCAAAAGCAAGTTTATTGAAGGATGGTCTGCGGGGCGCGTGTCATACATGGAAGGTGACGGATGCGGCCCTGTTATCTACCGGTTGATGGTAAGTGTTTCCCATAAGAATACGCTATCACTCAATTATTCCATGAGCTGGCGTCACACCTCTGCTCCACGCTCACGCATTTCTTCTGGCTAGCTGTACACACTGCTCTTCTTTAGTGGATTTGGTTTCAGATCTTGCAGGCCGATCTTGCACTTGCTAACAGTATATTGTACGGAGTACTACTAGTATAGTAAAAGGAACGTCCTGCTACGGAAGTCTCAGCTGTGCCCGGGATGGCACTATACTATACTACGATGTCATGTGTACGGAATGTTAACAGCTGTAATTAGCCAGCTTCCATGCATGCCTGGACTGGGAGGATAATTTCACATATTTGACCTGAGGCCTAAATCAATTCACAAACTGACCTGCTTTTAAAAAAAAAATCACTCTGCTGATCCTTTCGTGTGGCGCCCGACAGCTGGGCGCCGCACCCTACTGTGCAGCGCCCATCACTTAGCGTTGCACATCCTGCCAGCGTGGCAGCCCTGGCCCCACAGACAGCACTGCAGCGCCTAAGACTTAGGCGCCGCACTGTGTATATTGTAGCGCCCGTGTCTTAGGCGCTGCACGTTGACTTAGCCCGCATCGGGCCAGACCCTCCCAGGCAGTTCTTCCAGTTGCTCTGTTGTCACAGAGAGCGGCGGCGGCGCCGCCCCCTTCGGATCCCCCCCACACCCCCTCTCAAATTTGAAGTTTTGAGGCTTGGATTCGATCTCCAATCCTTCCTAGTACGTAAACTCCTCCGTTCCCTTTTTTTTCCTCCGTAAAATCGTTCGGTGTTCCAGATTAAGTTTTTTGATGTAATATTGCAATTGGAGATGATAAGTCATCCATCTCAGGAGCCATTTCCTGGTCTGACCTTCAAATGTGGAATCCTTTTCTCATCAATGGCAAGTACTTTGAAAACAACTATCAAAATTTTATTTAGTTTTACAAGTATGCAGAGAGCCGACAAGGCAGCAATGCTATTGTTCAAATGTGGTCAAGGCAGGCTTTCGGTGTTTCAGAATGAGCACACATTCATTGCAACCAAAAGAATTGGTAGTCATATCCGGTAGTATATGATTCTTGTTGTGATGGAGGATGTGTAGTCATATCTGGTGTTCATATCCGGTGTTCATATCCGGTGTTCATTCGTTAGGTGGAAACTCTTTCGGTGTTGTGATGGAGGATGTGTAGTCATATCCGGTAGTATATGATTCTTGTTAGTTAAACCTAGATTGTTTATTTTTTTAGATATATATGAGATGCCTAGTTTTGTAGATAATTATGAGATGTTGAGTTTTGTAGCTATATGTGAGATGTTGAGTTTTTTTAGATATATATTAGATGTTGAGTGTTTTCCGATATTTGAGATGAACTCATGTATGTTTATTGTTTGAAATTGTAAGGATGGTTTGGCTTCTGGACGATGTCTACGACGTGCAACACCGGTCCTACATGATGCGCGAGAAGGATAAGGTAATAATGAGTACTCTAAATCTTTTGCAAATTTGCCTTTAGTTGAAATTTACATGCCCTAAGATTTGTCATTACTTGTTTTTTGCAGAAGCTTGAACCTCTGAAGATTCGGTATCACGGGGTCTCTGGTCCTGCCATGCCTTACGATGAGCGGTACACACCGTACATCAAGCAGGCAGGACTACTCCCGTGGATTCTGTTGGTCAGCCGGTCCACGCCGAATCTGAACGCTCCACTGGTGTCCGCTCTTGTTGATCGGTGGAGGCCAGAGACCCACAGTTTCCATCTTCGGACCGGGGAGATGACCGTGACGCTCGAGGATGTCTCGTTGATCACCGGTCTTGCTATCGACGGGAGGCCTCTATGTATGAGCACCGATTCTGATGGGTGGCACGAGCAGATGATTGCTCTTATCGGTATGGCTCCTACCGAGGCTGAGGATGATGTAGAGGAGGGAGAAGAGAAGAAGAAGAGGGAAAGGAAGGCAGCTGGAGCTGCTTTCACGTGGATTCAAAATAACTTTGCGACGTGCCCTCCGGATGCAACTGATGATGTGATCCAGACACATGCTCGTGTGTATATGTGGTACATTGTGTCGAGGACTTTGTTTCCTGACTCCACTGGCAAGAACGCTCCATGGATGTGGCTGAAGGCGTTGACCGTCTTCGATAGCAAATGGAGCTGGGGTTCAGCGACTCTTGCCTACTTGTACCGACAGGTAGTTGGTCTGTTTTGTGATCAACTCATTTATTCATTAGCAATGCAAGCTTGCTGTCAAGTTAACATTGTTTTTCTTTCATATGTAGCTGGATGATGCGTGTTGCAGGATCACACCTAGTGCAGGCATTGGTGGTAATCTGCTTCTACTTTCTGTATGGAGCTGGGAGCGTCTGCCTGTTGGACGCCCGAAGAGCATCAGGTTTGATCCTTGGTATGCAGATGAACATGACGAATTACGGCGCCCCACGTGGGCTTACAAGTGGGATATCGTTTCCGAGATGACGAACGATGTCAATCTCATGTACCAAAAGTACATTGCCGAGTTGGACACGATTACGCCTGAGCAGGTAAGGAGGTCATTACTTTAGTCCTTTCTCATGCTTGCTTGAAAAATAGTTATCAATTTTGCATTGTTGCCCTGTTTCATAGGTGGAATGGCAGCCATATGGCGCGGGTGAGAGCTTGGGGTACACCGCGGAGTTCCGCCTCAACCCGATGTGCTTGCGGGATAAGGATCTCTGGCTTATGCGGTGCCCATTGATATGCAACTGGGCGGTTGAGTTTCATTTGCCGCATCGCGTGTATCGTCAGTTTGGTCTTTTCCAGCCTCACCCACCGGATTGGGTGGACACGGATAAAGCACTTCATAGGTAAGAGAGCATGTGTGCGTATTGTCTAATCATCGGGACTCCTTTTGATTGTGCTAATGTTTGGTTTTATACCACGCAGGTTGGACAGGAGAAGGCAACGGAAGATAAAGGACTGGGCCAAGCATCATTCTGCGTATGTTACCCGCTTCCAGCTTTGTGTGGAGCAAGCTCGTAGCACTGCACGCGCCCCGCTTCGTGAGCACAACTCACTTGCTTTT